GCCCGAGAGCAGGGCACTCGCCGCTGCGGCTGCGGTGCGAGCGCTGCCCGAGAGCAGGGCACTCGCCGCTGCGGCTGCGGTGCGAGCGCTGCCCGCGCTGGTAGCGCGGAGCGAGCGGCACTCGGGACGGCTCATTGGCGGCTGCGCGGCGCCTGCGCTGCAGCTGTGCTGCAGCTGCACTGCGGCTTTGCTGTGGCTCACACTGTGCCTTGTGCTGCGCCTTGCGCTGCAGCTGTGCTGTGGCACATGCTGCGCCTTGCGCTGCGCCTTGCGCCACCACTTGCCCTTGTGTCCAGCCGAGCAACCACTGCCTCCTGCTGTGAATGGAGCTCTGAGCTGTGTGTGGGGCTGCTCCCCCAAGGGACAGAGGGCAAAAAGTGGAAAACGAAAGTGGGGAAAAAGTGGAAAACAGTCATGTGCAAAGGTAGATGTAGTTGTCTTTAAAAGAGTGCTTATTTGGAGTTAGAAAATCTGTTAGGACCATTTTAGAGACAATAATAAAAATCTGTACTTTTTTTTTGCAAGGAAAAGCCCCTTTGCTTGGCTACAAAAATAAGCTTTGTGGGTCAAGAGCAGGCCGCGTGTGACAGTGGGCTTTGGGAGACGCTCTCGGTGATAGCCGAGAGAGGAAGGCGCGCTGAGCACGTTCTTGTGCTGCTCTGTAGCTTCTGTTTTTGCAGGTGTGTGGGGCGACCCGGCACACGTACGTGCAGCGTTGCTCCTGCCCGTGGTCACGGGTGCTGCCGTCGCTGGGACCTTACCTAGATTGTTCTTACCGTGGGGTCTGTGTCTAGCTCGGAAGCACGACCTGTTAGCATGCTGCTGCCCCTTGGGCTGCTGTGATTGAGACTGGGGAGTGAAGAAAGCCAGTGGGAACGTGGGCACAGTGGGTCGCTCCTAGGCTCTCTGCACCCGCCCTGCCTGCTCCAGGGCCTGGGCGGCCCCGGAAAGCGTGTCCCGAAGGGCAGGGAGTGCCAGGCCGAGGTCTCAACATCGTGGTGGGAGGGCAGGCACCTGCAGCGCCGCGTGGGACACTGCTCGTGGTGCCTCTGGGGACAACCCTGGCCTGGGGGCCCCGGGGAGGCTGCGGGGGGAGGGAGCAGGTCCCGGCGGGACGGCTGCAGCGGCGGGGCCAGCCGCGTGCGTGGGCGCCACTGCCTGCACACTGCCCCGCATGGCCCCACGTGCAGCCCCGCGGCAGTGGCCCCGCACATGGCCCCGCGGCGGTGGCCCCGGCGGCGGAGCGGGACGCGAGGCGGCCTCCGCAGCCTGCTGCTCGGGACACCACGCTGCTCACTGCATGTCCCACACAGCACGTGTGCCGCTGCATTGGGGTGTGAGCAGCAACCGCAGCACGGCAGGGGCTTCAGCAGGCTCAGGGAGTTCTGCAGCGCTCAGTGGGTTCGGCTGTGGTTGCTTTCGGATCCTCCTGAGGGTTTCTCATGGCGGATTTGCTCCTCTTCCAGCCTGCTCGCACAATGAGGTGTTTTATTAAAATTCCTTCTAAAATTTCGAGTACATCTCTGCATGAAACAACTTGCAACTTACATTCATTTGCTCTCTTGCTCTAGTGAGTCCTTTATTCCGTCTGTAGTCCCTCGTGCTGTGGCTGCAATATCATTGAACTTTAAAATACTTTTTGAAGGTTTTAATTTTACTGCTGTTAGCTTAATCTAGCCTCAGTATCAATAAATATAGCAATTCATCACAAAAAGCCCGGTGCTGCTATGCACAGCAAAATGGGAGTGTACTGGTGCTTGCTATATTTATCAAGCTGTAGTGTGAAATTTGGAGCACTGGGCTATGACTTCATGTTTGGCACCGCGCAGGGCGTTGCGGGTGCACGTAGCTGCTCTCAGCAGCAGTTAGGGAGCAACGTAGACCACCTCTTTCCTGCACCCCGCAGAGCACGGCGGGGTCACAGAGCTGCGGTACAGCTGGGGGTGACGGGTGCGATAGTGGACGTGTTGGCAGCGCCTGCCCGGTCGCCTGCAGCGTTTTGCCCAGACGCCGTTTGCCTTCCTGGCAGCGCTGGCTGTGTCGGCTCGGTGAGTTCTGCAGTGTTCCCCCCAGCCGCCGAGACGCAGCCGCGGCGCTGGCTGCAGGACACACCGCGCTGCGGGTGCCGGCACCTGCGCCAGCCGAGGCCATGCAGCTCCTGCTGCCCTGCGCGAGGAGGGAAGGACGAGCTGGGGACATGGATATTCCCGTGCGGAGCAGAGGACTTGTGCTCTCCAGGAGAGGAGCAGCCCCGGAAAGCTGCTTGGCACGTTCTGCAGGCTGACGCCAGGGCATGACACAACATTTTCCATGTTCACGCTCGGGAGGAAGGTGGGGATCTGTGGGCTCGGGTCCTGACAACTGCTGTGAGAACCTGCAGCGTGCTGCTGCCCAAGGCAGGGGTGCCCATCAGCGTGTCCATCCTGCAGCGCGCAGCCCAGCTGAGCACTGCGGCCGCCTGCGCTGCAGAGGAGCCCGTGCCTGCCGGGGGCTGCGAGCGCCCAACACGGGCAGCCCTTGGCGCTCAGCCGGCCGTGCGGGGCGCCCTGCTCGGGCACTGCTCGAGCAAACGTGACTCATTTCCCCACAGCAAAAGGACTAGGAATTCTCTCGGGCAGCTCGTGTCCGAGC